ACACCATTATATCTCTATTTTTGAACCAGATTCTCCCAAAGCTATCATCAATAATATGCCAATATGATTTTATTATTTTGGTCTGTTATAAAACCGGCTTGTTTTTAGTTTAGAATATCTCAGTATCCAATTTAATTTGCTCTTTTTTATGTGTAGGGCTGCAAATATTGGTCATTTTGCTAAATAATAAATCTGTCAATTATTTTTTTAAATAATCGATTAATAACAGAATAGCAAAAGAAGATGCATAGATTTTTTTTTGTTTTACAGTATCTAAACCCACTGAATCTAAAAATGTGCCACATAAAAAGTTGTGGATAGGATCTACTGACTCACAGAAAGGTTGTTAGAGTCTCTCTATTCCAGTTAACCATTAATCTCTAACTAAAAGTGGTTGAAGATCATTTCAATAACCTTCACAATCAATGTGATTAATTGGTTAACCCCTACTTAAGTTAATATTCACATAGGGCTAAATAAAATTGATTTTAGGGATTTGGGTATTTTTACTTTAAGCTGTCATTTGTTGATTCTGAAAACTCAATCAGCCATTAAAAACTAAAATGTTTATTTAGATTATTTTAATTAAAAATGAAAGCTACAAAAAAAAAGAAACCCTGAATGGTCTTCAAAACATTTCACTCTCAATTATCACATGTTCAAATAAAAAGGTTAGCATGCTTCGTGAGAGGATGTGTAGGAATTTTATTAACAGCGCCTCACAGAAATGTCACCTGGATTAAAAACACAAAAACCGCCGGGACAACCAAGTCATGCAAATTAGTGTCGTTTTATCTCCCGATAAATCGTCTACGATCAAATGAATATCTGTTTATGAAGTTTTGTAAACAGGCACAATCTCTATTTAGAAATCACAATGCCATACGAAGGTTTTTTTTCTTCTCCACTAAAGGTGTGGATTTGTTTTGAAAGTTAGTGGATATAAAAGAAGAAAACAGAAATGATGTAAACACTTCATCAACACAAGCCACTGATGTTATGAAACGGACGCTTCCGATGGAAGGTGACGTTTAATGGTGCAGGTCAGGTTAGAACCGCTGTTATTTAATAAAGATCCAAACAAACAGGTCTGCTAGAATCACTAATGCTTTGGAAACCGCAAAACTCCAATTCACACTTTTTTTTTTTATTCTTTGTCCTTAAAAGCTTTGGTTGCAGAAGATATTTCTGGTGATAAAAGAAAAGCAATAAAAGCCACAAACAAAATGGTGTCAAACAAATGTTATGACAAGGCTGAGGTTTTTTTCTGTTTACATTTTTAATTTTATACCAAAAAAATCAGAAAAATGGTGCTACAATCCAATAAAAGCTGTGAAGCTTCTCTGCTGAATTTCACACCGAGTCAAAGAGGAGGGGTTCAGGAAAGGTGTTTGTGTAGTGGCGTAATTACCTGTCAAATAGGGCCCCAACCTCAGCATTGTTCGCCCTGTGTATTCAATCACAATGTGTTATTACAATGTCATTACACAGATGGACAGTACAGCATCCTGTCTGTGAGCTGATCTCTACATGTAGGCCATGCTTAGATATGATCCTCAGATCAACACTGCGCTCAGCTCCATCTGAAATGAGTCCTTTTGTTGCTTCCTTTACATTTCATCTGAACCAGAACACCGTTAGGGGTTAAAAGCTTAAACCGGAGCTCTGCTAAACATTACAGGGAGCTTTATAAAATCTTTAAAACACCATCATTTTCTGTTTTTCAACAAGCAGAAGATGTCAGAATTTAAATGTATATTTGAAAACAATAACCTATGGATCCACTGATAAGTGAAAAATCCCTCCATGTCTGATGGGGTCTCAGTGCTGCTGCCTTAAAGAGGAAAACATTTAAATAGTTATTAAGCTGTGGCTCCTTTGCTGTGCTAAAATAAAGGGTCTAAGCAGTGATACAGGATTAACTTTAGAATCCTGGAGTTCATCTAAAGCTAACGGATCTTATCCATCTACTAATAACTACTTAATAAGCAGCCATTTTCTTTAAACTGGAGTTTTCACTTGAGGGTCTTTCATGGAGGGCTAACTTTAGCAAAACCTGTTGATTGTTTTTGTTTTTAAAGTAGCAGATTGATTAATTGATATGTGAAAATTTTCTTACAAATCAGATTTTCTCTTTTATCAAAAGGATCCTTTCATAAAGTGAAAGGCAATTTTTTTTTATTTACAATATGAGGAATTTAAAAAAAGGGCGCATTATTACATTTGACCTATTTATTGTGCTATCTATATTAAATACTGACCGAATAAACAAAAAATATTATTTCTTACATATTATTCAGTCAGTTGGATTTTTAAAATAAAACAAAACGGGAACCTTATAGGTTACTAAATTAAAAAGAGATAAACTATGTTAAACTTTTACATTTCCACTAAACTAACATGAAAAACAAAAAATTAAGATGCAGGGTTAAGATGCAGGGTGTTTCGCTCTGACACGATGTCAGACTATCTACCTCTTTGTTTTAATGGAGGGGACGGACGCTCTTTGTTTTCAGTTCAATGCAGCAATCTGGATTGGTTCAATTCGCTGCTGGGAGAGACTTTTTTCTGTAACTGTTTTAACATCTGGTTCCATTAGCTTTCAGAGGAATGCTTAAAACTTGGCTCCATGGAAGCCATTAAAACAAAAAAGCCTTTTTTCCCCCTCTACCATGTCTTCTTCATGTTACGAATGTTTTGCAGATCTGTCTATTCTCAAATCCTCACCTTCCAAGCAGAACAGAGGAAACGGTGCTGCTTCACCATGCAGCACAGCTAAAAGCACTTATTTAGGGGATAACGCCTAGAGTTTATGGAGTGTTTATATTTACTAACAGAACCAAATTAAGCAAATTCCAAATCTTTGGTGCAATTAAAAAGGGTAAACAATCCTTACTGGACTCTGGATTGATTCATGTTTCTGCTCTTTCTGCTACTTTTTTTCCAAATATCAGCGATGCGCCTCTTAATAAAGAACTGTGGCGCCCTCTGCTGGATGGTGACAACGGTAAAAACCACTGAAGGAAATTGCTTCTACCCAAATATTACCTGTTGATGTAACCATTAACCTTATAAACCATCATTTGATATTTAAACATGTTGATTATTTGTTCACACCCCTAACTTGAACACCTGAATCAAAAGCGGACCTTAACCACCAGGTGTGGTCCAGCAGAAAACATCTTAACAGTTTAGTCTGCACTAATTAAAGTAAAAAAAAAAACAAATCCAATTGTTGTATTTTTAATTAGTTCTTTGATCTAACAGAGGTTGAATTTAAAGGGACAATAAACTTGAGCTTCAATGAAATTATCAAGAGAAAAAAAGGAATGTGCAGTGATCCCAACTAGAGCTGCAACTAACGATTATTTTGCAAATCGATTAATCCGTCAATTATTTTTTCGATTAATCAATTAATAATCGTATGGCCAAAGGTTTTTTTCTTTTCTTACAAAAGTAAACCAGGTGGAACTAAAACTTTTCCACTTTAGGAATTCTGCATAGAGCATGTTTATCTTAAATGCAAAATGTTTAT